ATCACTAAAGAGGACGTACGCATGAGGCCAAACCTCTATAAATCTTTGTCTTATTGTATGTTTGCTTACTCTCTTCGTGGTGTGCGTGTGTTTTATTTTCAAGGAGTTTATGTGTGTGTGCATCGCATAATCCATCAATGACAAAGTCTTGGAGTGTTTCAGCACAACAAAGCACCCGAACAAAAATGTGTCCACGTGGATACTAGATCCCTCCCCATATGGTTTACATTAGGTAGGAAGTGTCATACTGGTTGTCCTACTAGGACAAGGGCCTAATGTGACAATTAAGAATCTGGAATTGGATAGGAATAGGTTCATTTTAGGGTTTATAGGGGTCAATAGGCAGGATGTCCATTAACAAGTTTCTTCTAATCACTCTTCCTTCTCTTTGTATCATAGTACAACAATGATTCATATACAACTTTTATGGCTCTTTCATACTTCTAAGTAATTCTTAGTATTCTAATACACATTATATTATAATTTTTTGGTTTAATTACATAAAACTAACCTAACTTTTAGGGGTTATTTCAAACTAGTGCTCAACCTTGAAAATCTTGCACGTAGATACCCAACCTCGCCAAAAACATACAAATTAGTTAACAGATTGAGTATTAGTCCAACTAACAGAGAGTCTACTTTGTATGTTTTTCGTGAGGTTGGGTATTTACGTGTAAAATTTTCAAAGTTGAACAACCCACAAAAGTTGGATAATTTTATGTAGTTAAAAAATCCTTTAACTATCAAAAGCACCCTTATCTTGAACATCATTAATTGCATGCATCAAACCCTTTTCCATAAAAACAATTCCCTTAGAGGTTGGTGATATAAGAAATTGAGAGAGAGAGATATATATATATATATATATATATATGCACACGTGTAAATGAGGAAGAAGGAGGGGGTGGGTGGCTATGTCAGGGTAAAAGTAGAGATAAATTAAATATTTTTTTCTTTTTCTATGAGTGCATGTAGGGAACTAGAGTGTATCGGTTCGGTTTGGTTCATATTGAATCTTTCTAATCGTGAATGAGGCACTTGACTGGTTCACTTAAATTGTATAGTGTTTAACGAAGAATTTTAGTCAAAACCGGTTCAATACCTGCCGATTAGGTCTAGCTCAATCCAATTTACTAGTCTTGTGATTTATATGCCTACCCCTAAAGATTTTCTTGACTTAGGTCTTTTGGAGATATATATACGAAATGTACAATGTAGAGTCAATGAGCAAGTTTCTTGACCACCTACTTCTAGAGCATTTGGTCCACAATGCCATGTACACCTTTTTTCTTGAACAAAGTTTATTTGATATGGCCTTAGATGTTGGTAAACTTCAAGGTTCGATTTTGCCACTCTCTCTTTGGAGACTAGATTATCAAAACTACCTCCATTGATGATAACATTACAAACCAACCAAGAGATCAACATCTTCTTTCTTTAATAAGTTTTTCTCCCTAAATTATATCGATTTTGTCAATTTACCCCTCCCACTAAAACTTTGTCTTAGCTAATTTTTCTCTTGAATTATACAAAACTAGTCAACATATCCCCCACCGTCATAGTCCTAGCAATTTCATATAAAGTCACTTTTGAAAGTCTTTTTACCATATCACACTATATTCTTTACAAAAAGTGGCCCTAAATGTCATTTTAGGAAGTTCAGTTTTTAGCAACTCAATTTTGATGACATATAGGGCCACTTTTTGTAAAGAATTAAATGACCAAGAGGTTCTCAAAAGTGATTCTTTATTTGACTACATCTTGGATGGAGTTGTTAGGAATATGACGTTAGATTGGCCATCTTATTTTGTTGTCCTCCCTTAATAAACTAAATTATTGGCTAAACTTTTAGAGTTAGATGGATCCAAACAAATTGGGATAAGGAAATGGATCAATGTGGCCCACTACTAATCATGAGTCATCATTTGACATTGTCTCCAACTTACCTAGGTCTAATAAATTAGGCAACCCAAAGAACTCCCAATGTGTACGCTTTTATCTCCACCTCCGTTCTATTACTAGTGGATCACACAACTAATACGTTATAACTTAAAGCACTCTTAATCAAGCCTTGTGAAGAATCCTATAGCATTCTTGATCAAGTCCTTATAAGCATACCTGAATATTCCTCCTTACAATTGAAGATCAAGTGCTTGTCACTCTGGGATCTGACACAAACTTGGAAGTTTAATCATAGGATTTTTCTATTTGTAACTATTACACACGTATATTTACAAGACCTAAATTATTTTGTACACTTTTGTTTTTTTCTTGTCTATATTTTCATGGGTTTTTCCTAAAATATTGTTCAAACTAACGGGTCAGAAGTTATAGAATATGCTATAATCAAAGGTTGATATCCAAGCTGGAGAACTTCCACGCAACTGAGTTTGGTTTGGTTGAACAGTATAGCTTCGTGCTTGAGGTGATCTTATGGCCCTCCTCGTACTAGTACATAGTATATTAGGGTTATTCCCATGGACTTAAATCTCCATATGACTCAACTCTAGGATGACTTGCTTTTCAAGTTATTGCTCCTAAGGCCTGAACCTTTTCTTAAGCTAAGCATGGGTTTGGTTCAAAGCCCTCAATTGATCTATGAAGACATGTATTTTAAAAGGAGAAAAGATTATATTTATCTTTTGGATAAACTTGGACAATCTTATCTTTTTAAGATATGTATCCTTTGGATAAATTTGGATGTTCTTATCTTATTAAAATATCTTTTGGATAAACTTGGATGTTCTTATCCTTCTAAATATTGAAGTTTATTATATCCCTATAACCACTATAAATATGAGCATAACCCTCATAGTTTCTAAACATGAGAAATTAGAAAGAAAGTTAGAGAGAGAAGGGGGAGGGAGTGCGTTGGTGGAGATTCTTGGATGGGTTGTCTTGCCAATTCTTTTAAGGATTCTCTTATCGAGGTGAGTGGTTCATGTAATGTGTTTTAAAAGTTCTTATTTTGTGATAAAATGACAAACCATGAATTATCATGGATTTGTTCTATTTACAAATATCTCTCTATTTCAAGTCAAGCATATCTAATTTGGTGCAATCTTTCACACTATATATTGATTGGACTATTTATGAAGTATGTATTATTCATTGAACATGAGAATTTTAGTGTTGGGGTATCCGATGGATAGATGTACCAGACGAGGGCATAAGGCAGTGAGGGTATTATGGGTCACGTGGTGGGTTACATGCTATGAATAACCGAGATATGAAGTAATGATGTGATATGATCTGGATTGGTGTATCTTTTTATGATATTTTATAGACTAGTGTGTAAAACGGCATTGCTTGACTGTCATATTACATAATCTACTCACAAAGTGGTGATTTACTCATCCCTCACCTTGTTTATTTTTCAGTTGAATTAGTGGGGAAGACAAGCACTAAACCGGCTGGGGTTGAATTAGATGAGAGTCATAGAACTTTACTTATTTTTGGTACACTCGTAAGCTTTTTGACTTATTTTTATAAGAGAATTTTATGTTAACCCATGTTTCGCCATGTTATTTTACTTTTTATTTATCAAGCGCCGGGCACAGGATTTCTACCTTTCCCCAGGTCCGGAGCATCACATGATCAAAAGCTCTCACTTCATGTATTTGGTTGTAAGTCAGACTGGAATGATGTTGTTATCCTTAAAATTATGGGAGAGATAGAAACAAAGTGGACATTTGCCTATCCATTCTCGATGATCAGGTGAAATCAAGTTGGAATTCTACTAGCATTGGGAAAGCACTTATGTAATTACGTTCCCTACATCTCAACCAATGTAAGGAAGACTTCTTCACTGAAACTCAATTTATTCATATTCTTTCTACAAAGAGATTGTTCGACCCAAAAAAATAAAAATAAATCTTCAAACTGATTGTTGACTTGATCAAGCGGTCCAAATGGCAATGAATCTGAATCTGGTAGCAACAAAAGAAAGACTGTTTTCCATTAGAAGAGTGAGGTTTTGAGAGATTGATAATGATGGCACAAAGCAATTGTTCGCAAGGAGGTGCAATATTTGAGGAAAGGCACAAGAATCACAATGGCACAAGGGAACTGTAATCTTCGACCTACGGCAGTAGGATTGAGCAGTAACAGATGCAAAATAATATGGCTCATATGTCGGCAATGATGATTCAACAAAGCAATGAATTGCTAAGAAGAGAAGAGGGTTTTAAAGCATCTCGAGTTCGGTTAATGCCCTATATCATGATTTTGGTTGTGTTGGCGTTGGAGATGGAAGACATGATGGGATCATTCAGTGGGTAGCAAAAGGTTTCGAAACCATATAAAATATGTTCTCCGAGAATGTTGGAAAAGTTTACATGGTGTACCTATGTCTTACATTTATTCACCGATCAAGACAGTTATGTCAGAACCATAGAAAATTAAAAATTAAAAATTAATCCATTGAAACTTAGAAATGGATTGGGAGCATTTTTCTGATATGATATGGTCATTTTAGAAGAAGCATTATAGAAAATGTGTACGTTGAAATCATAAAAGTATCAAACATTTCAAAGAAAATAAAATCATACAAACATTTCTTATAAAGCCTATTAGCAATCGAGAGTTAAGTTAATAGTTTTTTTGTGTGACAATGGAGTTACATTAACATTAACAGGGGGTAATCTTCCCTTTCTTACTCTAACACTAACCTTCGGAATTTGACTAACCTTGTATTGATTCGAATAAGCAAAAGATTACTGTGTTAACAAGGAATTAGTTCTATAAATTAATTGGTCCTTGCACCTTAATTCAAACACTTCTGAGCAATGCAGCATAACTACACATGCATGTATATGCCATTTCCCTAACTTCATTTCCATGGAAACAATAGAGTAATTTCTCAACGAATTATAAAAAAATAAAAAAAATTAACACCAAATAATTCAACAAAAAATAAATATATAATGGAAGTAATTAGCTCATGGAATGCATGGATCTCAAGATATGAAGATAATAGAAGTAATTAACCTTAAACAAAGCTAATTAAAGATGTTATAGAATAAGTAGGACCTGGTGCTTGCAAAATCATAGAGCTTGCCGGTGCTGGAGAAGATCATAACTCCGACCTCCGCGTCACATAAGATCGCCAGCTCCTTGGCCTTCTTCAGCAGCCCGTTCCTCCGCTTCGAAAACGTCACTTGGCGGCTCGTGGAATTGTCAATCCTCCTTATCACAATCTTACCCCTTCCCATCGATCACACCTGCCAAATCTAGGTCAATCAATTTATCCCTTCAAAGAAAAAAACCCAGCTCCCAACCAAACACCATACTCTCTATGCACAACAAAATAAATCACAAGAATATCTTGTAGCCACCTGAGCAAACTTAAAGCTAACTAGCTTCTAGCTCTCTTTCATTCATTCTTGTTCAAGATCGGGGGAGCAAGAAAATTACACAAATTTTCCAGGAAAGAGAGAGAAAATGAAATGGATGGAAGAAATTAAGGAATTAATATTCGTGAGAGAAAATAAAAATAAATTTGAGTTGAGAAACTTACTTGGTGCTCAAAGAAGAAGCTATGGCTTTTAAGTAATGGAGACAAACCGAGGTTTCACCAAAATAGCTTTGGCTGTACTGATGATTCACATCAGCACAAAGCTATATAAGGAAAGTGTACCTGAGGGCAGTAAAAACCACCATCTTTTTGCGTACAAAACCACTAGCGGTTTTCTTTACTTTGGACACGTGGACCAATCGGGTTGCGTAAGACCTTTGAATTCTTAAAGAGCCGCCCATCGTATAGATCGTTGACGCGTGGGTCTACGAATACGTACATCCTATTTTTGGGAATTTTTCCCTTTTTTCAAATTGCTAGGGAGACGTTGGGGGAATAGAAAACGGTGGCGGCCAAATTTGCCCCTACAGGGTTGTTGAAATTACTGTTGTGTTCCCGTTGATAAAGTGACATGTGGGTGCTGACGTGCCTGTCGTTTTTGGCAGGGTACTCCCAATCGGGTAAATAATGGTTTTTTTTTCCTTCTTTTTTCCTAAGACTTCGCTTTCTCTGAACAAGAAAGGGAGATTTATAATTTTATATAATTATAAAATATCTAATTATTTGGGTTACATGGGAGCTTTCCATAAAGAGATGGGGTGGGCAAAGTCTAACCCATTTTGGCATTTTTCTAAATAAATTAAAACAAGTGGGTACTTTTTTCAATTATAAAAATTGTGGAGCTTGCCTAATTGGGGACAGAAATGAGTTAAAAAATTATGCAGGTTTGCAAGAAGACAATGCTAATGGTGGGTGGGGCAAATGCTCTGATAATTATTGTCCATATATACAACTACACAATTGATTTTATATGGATACTAAAATCAAGCACACATTTATATTGTGTTTTCTCATTTTACTCATTTTAAAAAAAAAAGAATATGCAAGCGATATTGGGGAATGTGGGACCTAATCTATGACCTTGGTCATTGGATGCAGAGGAATACTCTTAACCACTTGAGTTACAAGCCCTTACTATAGGGGCTAAGCCATTAATGGACCAGTGTGGTCCCATACCCCCACTCCATCTTTTATTTATTGTATTATGATATTATGTATGATGTATGATATTTAACATATTTGATTAGTTTTAGGATCCTAAAATAAATAGTATATATTAGGTATTTTTTGTTTACAACCATAAAACTTCTTAATCTCTTTTTTACTTCTCTCTTTTACATTTTACATTAGTTTATGATATTTACACTAAAAACTCCTACATTTTTAACCTTTATTTCTCTTTATCTTTTGTTTGAGTTAAACTTTGTGAATTTTTTTATTTCCCTATCTTTTTTCATGTTTGAGTTGGATACTTTAATATTAGATTTTGTGAACCCTTTTTGTATTTCTTCTCTATGTTGGAATATAAATTATTAATTTTTGAGTCTATAATAATGTAGATGATGAGATTAGTATTTAACCATGATAAAATATGAAATTGTGGAGTGATTGTAATGAATGGATATATTATTAATCAATATAAAATGATGTTATGAAGTAGGCTAAAAGGAGTAGTTTAGTGTCATATTAATTTAGCCTATTCTTAAAAAATTTGTGAAGGGTCCTCTCTAATTTTGAAGCCTGGCTCTGCCATTGCCTTACTATTGAACTCAAGTGGTTAAAAGTAGTTATTCATACAACGAAAGTCGACTGATCAATTTCGTATCCTAATATTGTTGCTTTAAAAAACTTAAAACATCTATTTTTCAACTAAATATTAATTTAGTAATTATCAAAGGCATTTGTCTATATTTTTTTGGCTAACTTTGAAACTGAAAAAGGAAACAATCCGCTGTATGATGACATCATTCAGAAGAGAACAAAACACACAGATGAGTTTGAAATTGAATCACCCACCCACTTAACAACTTTAATAAAAGATAGGTTTAATTGGTTGGATATTTGTGGTGCTATAAACAGTGGTATAAGACGGAAAAAGTGGATCTCTTTGTATTATTAAAACTCCCAAGGTACCATGCGAGTTGTGAAGATTAAGATTATATTAAGTTCATGCGACCAACTAGCAGTTGAGTTAATAATAACACTTGAGAATATGGATATTATGCCTATGAATATTGCTTTTCAAAATAAAGCGTGACAAAGGGGAAATTCATGCCAAGAAAAATAACAACTTTAACAGTTTACATTTCGAATCGCTTCTTCAAGAGATGTAAAACTCATTTACATATAGATTTTATTTAGCGTAGCTTACAAAAATTTGAGAATCATACACCAGTCATATGAGAGACGAGTACATCACACTCGACTTGAAGAATTTTCCCCATATTAATAATCGATGCAATTGATAATACAGTTGATAAATATATGTTTATACCAAGGAGAGAAGGATTGTAATTTTATTTATTTCTTAAAACAAAAGGAAGGAAGATTCTAAATTTGGAAAGAGATAGCACGTGCAGAAAAAGCACATTCTATGTAGTATTTGCTTGTTTAAGAATGATTATGATTATTGATTGGCCTTCCTTGGACAGACCTCGCCATATCCAACTAGGTTGCCATACTAGACCTACCAATTATTAGAGAGGGATATCCTGGTAATTCTACACAAGTCGAGGGGTAATTTGGCCAATTCAATTCACCCAAAAAGAGAAAGAGAAGATCACGTGCATCGCATTATATATGCGGGACGTGTCAGAAGACAGAACAAAAAAGGGTGGGGAATGGGAAGTAGTTTCAGACTTATGAAAGACATTTTCCTTTTTCGTGTTTTTTTGTTTCCAGAAAAATAAGGTTACCAAATGGGGAAATTGGCTGGCTTTTCCAACAATAGTTTGCCCATGACTTCACTTCATTTTGATGATGTTGCCAAAGCACCTGAGTGACCTGACCTCTCTCTCTCTCTCTCTCTCTCTCTCTCTCTCTCTCTCTTCCTCTAAACTAAATGAAGAAGCACCTCCTGATGCTCTGCCAAGTGTGAATCTTGTACCTCACCTGAAAGAACAAGTTCCAAAGATATGGCACTCAACTATATATATCTACCCACTTGCACTTTCATGCCCACTAAAGGAGGTAGGGGGCTCATCGCTCTTTGTTTCAACCATACTAAACCTGGTAATTACTTTGTAAAACGTAATTAATGTATACGCATTCAACAAAAACAAAGTATTCAAAGTACTTTAGACTTGTATCTTAAGAATTTTGATTGGTTCAATAGCAATTTAATAATCATATCCCCCCCCCCTCTCTCTCTCTCTCTCTCTCTCAACTCTCCCAATCTTTCGGATAGCTTTTTTTTCACTTCTAAATTACTCTCGTTCTCATATAATATTGTCCTGTTTCTTGACTTCTTACTTTGTATTCTTTACTAAAAAATTTGAGTATCTACGTGATATGATATTTAGCATCCAATAATGTGACCCACCTGTATGTTAATATTATCTTGCTAGTTGTCGATCATTTCAATACATTTTATTCGTAATGGGAAGTTAATGTGTCATTATTTTATTAGGGTCTGGCTGAAAAGAGTGCTCTTTGAAAGGATCAAGCATGTGAGATAATTTTCTGTGTAACATAAACATGTCTACACATATGATTTGAATCTCACTTAATGACAAAGTTACAGATGAGCTGTCTTAATCGCTTACCTACTCATTACAAAACTGATATTAATTCATTGAAATAATAACATTTAATGAATATTTCTTATTGTATACTTCGTTGATATGGCCTTGATAATGAATTATTTATTTGATATGCCCAGCGTAGTGCACTGGGCTTCAATAATTGGGACCCGCTATTATGTGGATGGGTCTCTCGATTATTGAAATTAATTATTAGAGGCTTCATAGCCCAACAAATGCATCTGACATTTGAAAAAATGGCTCCACAAAATGCTAAAAATTAATCGTTAAGTTAGCCATTTGTAATTCTTTTAGGTGAAGCAAAACGAATGTAATTTAGACATGCACAAAACACAATTCTTGGATTCCTTTCTCCATTGAGTCAGCCATTTGGTTTCTCATATTTAGTATATAATTTATATGAAATTACATGGTCGAGGTGATGTCCCAGTGACCGCTATTTGATCTTGTATCTTTATCATAATCTAAAACCCTCCGAATCCATGGGAGCCAATAGCAGATACCAAGAGATGATTGAGAGACATGCACGTGGAGAGGCATCACCATTAGCAAATCGAGGTAGCCATTTCTGCACGCCTTTAAATATTGTGTTTAGCCCGATGCCATACAACTGGCTTTCAACCAGAACCACGAGCCTGTCCACAATCTGATCCACCATTTCTGAGAAAGGCTTTTGCAGGTGATGCAGAAAACTTTTTAAAGTTCTGTACATTTTTAAACTTCCATCATCTTACTTTACAAAACTAGGGGTTTTCCAAAAATGGTATCTAAACTCTTACAGCATGTTTATTAAAATGTAATTGGATTAGAAAAAACTGAATTGAGAATGAATTGAATCGATGTGAATTATATTCCGGATTCCTATTGAAGTTATATGAAATTGGGTAAGAGTGATACTAATTACTAAAATATCCTCGTTATTCGATTAAAGTAGACGGTAAATTTGAAATTTTTTTATTTGTTTGGATTGGCTGGACCCGTAAGATTCGATTTGTACTAGGCAAACGACCAATAAGGAACATTCAAGATTTATATATGGCGAAGATCAAGGGCGTCCATTATAAAAATAAATCTTCCATGATTCCAATACATAGTA